TTGAGTTATTGCTAGGGTTTATTTGTATTGTCTCCTGAATGGGCTTTCCTTTACCATGTACATCCTTAAGGTTTCACCCTTTTTTACTCAAGTTTCATGGAGCACAGAGCTGCATGTTTATTTCCTCCTGCTTAGAAGAGGTTTGAATTAGATTAAGTTTGTGTCTCGTTGCTGCAGTTCTGTATGACTATTCCAATAAATGGATTTACTGATTTAGTGGCATTTAGTGGTAGCTATTGCAGCAGCAAGTCTGAAGACAGCTCCAAGAACATCAATGGAAAGGGAATTTTGAATTCGTCATTGCAAATACGCATGTTGAAAGTCTGATCCTGGCAGCTAGATCTTTTCATGAACAGTACATCCAACCTAAGAAAAACAACTTGAAAAGTAAAGATGTAATTTTTGCAATAAGTTGCTTATTAATGGGCCACAGATCAAGGTATTAGCAGGAATCAGCTGGGGAGGATTTTTCCTGTCTATTCCATGAGGAGACAAATCAACTGCTGAAACACTTGGTCTCACAGAAGCTCTGATTACAGACTCTCATTGCACTGCAGGTTTCTTTAGTATTTCCAAAAGGATTCTTCCTGTGGCACAGTACTGGGAGAATGATAGGAACTGAGAAAGAAGGTCTGTTTGCTTGAAAAAAAGTTACAAAAGTATCTGTGTATTTGAAGTACTGTAGGTATAACAGTATGATCTCTATTATTATTCCAAATAATAATGCCTTTCCCCAGTTGAGTAATACAAATAAGATCAGCAAAGGTACCTCTCTCAGAAAAGCTTCCCAAGTGGGAGTTTTGCAGTGTGAAATGGCTCTGTAATTTTAATGGTAAATTCTTAGTGCAGACAAACTCTGCTCATGTAACATTCCCGGGGAATGTCACAAAAGAGGGCATTGGTGTTACTAAAGGGCCAGCAGTTTTCGAAGGAAATGTTTTCCGTAATCAGCTATAATCTGAAATGAGATAACAGTGCCTAGATACCATAGTGACACAAATAGGTGGGCTGTGCCAGCTACTGCCTCTAACAACCTCTTGAGGATCTCCTTACGAATTAAAACACCCAGTCACACACTTATCGTGAAGGCTTAGAGCTCCAGATGGAGGAAAACGCTGCATTCACCCAGGCACGCACACTCTTGTCGATCTTACTTGGCTGTTGACCATGAGCACTCCGTGGAGCTGTGTCTCCTTCCAGGACTGCTGACAGAGAGGAGACTGGGACCCATCATCCCTATGTGCTCATGAGGTAGAACAAGAGTCCAGAGGGGAGAGAGTGCCTTTGTCCTCTGTAAAATGTTGTGTTTGCCTCCTGAGTTGAAGGTTAAAATGCACAGGAGGATCCTCAGCAAGGGGTACCAAAGCTGACATCTCTGGTAGTGCTGCTCTCTCCAGGGAACAGAGATGGGCAACCCTCAGCCCTGAGCCAAGCGCTCTTGAATTGCAGTTCGGGAGGCAAGTGGTGGAATCTAAAACTGGTTCACACTGCAGAGTCTGTGAATGCACTATGGGTACCATGCTCCTTGACTTCTTGGATATGAGCTCAGCTCCACAAAGAATATGACAGAAAGCAAATACTGAGGAATTTAAAATATGGATGGCTGAAAGTTACGTACACACATCACACATTACCATGCTAATCTTCCTAATGAAGGGCAGCCTGTCTAGTGCTTTTGGAGCTGAGGTTTGGGGCTGGTTTTATGGGGTTTTTTAGGAACCTCTTGTTTTCTTAGATGATGTGAATCTTCATGTCTGGGCACTGGAGCACAGGCTCTTTGAGGTAGATCATTCAGATCTCTCTCCCTGCTTTGTCTTGGTACAGGCGTTCTGGCTGCTGAAGCCATTTTTGAGCTTTCGTGCAGCAGTGGCTGCCATCAACTCAAAGTGAAGATGAAACCACAATGCTGAAAATGTCTAAAATATTTGCAAAAAGGTGTGGGGCATGCACAGAACTGTATCTTAGTTTGAACTGTGTGCTTGCTTGCTTGTTTTCCTGCCACGACAATAATCAGGATTGGGCCTATGCCTGTACTTGGTGAGACCTCCTCCAGAGAAACCCCCTTGGTGTTAATGATTCAGTAGGCTTCAGTCTGTTCTCAGAGGATGTTGGGCCTGGTGGCATTTCATACTTATCTTTGTTTTTTTTTTTTTTTTTTTTTTTAAATAAAGCGAATATTGGGATGCCATTGGATTTGAAAGTTCTCAAAGAGAGTCATTTTATAGAGTGTTGCTGGTGATGGAGGAATTGTTTTAAAGCCTTTTTTTCTCCGTAGAATTAAGGATCTGGACAGATGTCAGCTGTCTCAGAAAGGACTCCAAGTTGCTGTTCCAGAGTTGGCCTGATGACTTCTGGTATCTGGAGCCTCCTATTGTACCACACCACATGTCCTGAGAGCAACAACATGGGGTACTTCTGTGAGGATGGAAGCAAATGTTAGGGGCACATCCAAACTATGAGCAGGAGCCATGGGGACCCGGAAATTAAAGGAGGAAGGGAGGAGAAAGAATGGGAGGCTCAGCCCAAAATAAAGTGGATATAACATCCCTAAGCAAGTCCATTTACCTGGGTTTGCACTGTGTCCTGGACTTCTCAAGGTTGACGCGAGTACGGTCACATTCATTTTATAAAGACAGAAATGAATGGCTTTGTTTGCATTACTATATTTCAAGAAGAAAACTACAAGTTTGATTAGAATGAAGTATAAAAGTGCATAGGTGTGTATGGCCAATGTGTGTGTGTGTTTATGTGCACATGTGGACAAACATTACTTCTAAGAAGCACAAAGTATTTGTGGTAGTCTGAAAATTAATCCAGATTGTGGCTTGATTTCCATATTCACTCAGTAGAGAACTGATACTATCTTTGTAGTTATAATGAAAATACCGAATATATTGGAACAATGAGCATTGCAGTCAAATACAGAAAATTCCCTGGTGACTTGTGCTAGGTCTGCTCTCTCAGGTATTAGTAGGAGAGAGGGGGAGAATCTTGCACTCAATAATTTATGGATCCATAAAGATTTTTTTTGAGCAAGTAATAATTCTTTGGAAATTCAGGCTAATTAAAAGCAATACCATCCCTATAAATGCATTCAGTTACTTTGTCAAGACAATTTTATATTTGTTCCCTATCATGTTCCCATATGCATCTTAATCAGTGTTTTACTGTAATCGTGATTAGAGACCACACCACAGAGACAGACTCCTTAAAAACTGGCAGAAAGTAACATGCAGTTGGGTGGGAATAACTTTGAATGTCTTCTGGATATTTACAATGGATTAGGCTTTTTTATTTTAGGGTCAGTGCAGCTTTAACCTATATGCAGTGGTTTATGGCTAATGTCAGAGTTGCTTCTGGGTGCAAAGCACGTGTGAGAAATGTCTGTATGCTTGATGTACTTAAAAGGGAAGACAGGAACTTAAAAAAATCTCTTTCCTCCACTACTTATCCTCAGTAATTGGCCCCAACTTCCTCCTAAGTCTTTCCTGGGTAGTGAAAAATGAAATGTGTGTTGGAACCCAGCTTCTTGCCCCTTCAGCTGTTGGCACATCTGTTAGTCTGCTGAGGATGAGATGCAAGTTACCATATGGCTGAAATGTTAGTGACTGAAATTCTGATGACTGCTCCCATAAAGCCAAACTATTTCAGAAGCATGTCTCTTACCAATTGATATGCACAGAACCTCAGGTTTGATATTTTAGCTCTTCCTGTCTTTCTCAGGGCACAAAGCAAAGAAAAATTAGTCCTCTTGTTTACCCAGAATCTTTTTGCTGAGTGCACATGCCCGTGCATTTGTGTGTGTCTGCGTCTAACAATGGATGACCCTTGGTGCCAGGCTGTCACTACTGTGGGGTGTGTCAGACCCTTGGTGCCAGGCTGTCACTACTGTGGGGTGTGTCAGACCCTTGGTGCCAGGCTGTCACTACTGTGGGGTGTGTCAGTTGCTCCAGGACTGTAGCAGTTCCCATCATTTTACCCGCAGCTATGGCTAACTCTGCTACAGACAGCAGATGAAAGGAATCGCTTTTGCGAACAGTACAATGCCTTTTTATCCTTTCTTCTTGGTGCAAAACTTTAAACTTTGTGACAATGTACAGAGTATTTTTCTCAAGTGTGTGCTGACAATGTATCTATTTGCATGGGTGCCTCTGAGCGAGAAGAGTGAGTGAAAATAGTTTGTGCCATGGCTGGATGCAGATTAGTTTTGGCTAAGGCAAGGAAGATGTATGAGAAACAAAATCCTTTTCTCCTGCTGTGAGCAAAATAGTTATTTGTAAGTATTTGCCAAAAAAAGTTTACACGCACAGTTTTAGGCATCAGGCATCAAAATTACTTGTAAACTGCTCGCTCTGACATTTCTACATTTGTCACTTGTGGTGTGTTGTGGCTCACAATTACTTGGGTTTGCTCGGTGATTGAGTTATTGAACTTGAGAAAAACAGAGCTATAGAAATCTATAGTATGAGATAGAAATGAGTGAGGAGTGTGAACACCCAGAGTCGTGCTTCCCAACTCTACAGAGATGTCTTCTCTCAGTTTTATGAGTGAACCTGAGTTTGAAGTCACTAGGTGAATTGCTGCAGTCACATAGCAAAGCAAAATGGGCAGAAATAGAAGTGGGAATGCCTGACTCCACATGTAGAAAAGTTAAAGTTTGGAAGTCTGACAAACAAATAAAACTTGGTGCTAACTAGTTGCAGCAGGCAGCCTCTCTTGTCCACAAGCATGCTGCATTTGCTATGAAGCAGTGCAAGGGAAGGAGCAGAAAAGTTGCTCTCCTTCCAGGGAACTCAAATCACCATGAGAAGATTCAAATGTGTAAAAGCCTGTTTACATATTTTTTGAAATTCCCTTTGTTTTTGTTATTCTTCTATCTTATCTAAGCTTTTAAAGCACGCTGTTACAGTGTAGTCACGACAAGTTTACTTGAATGAGTCTCTTTTTCTAGGAATGTAAGATTTAAAAGAAAAGAAAAACAAACCCAAACAAGACAAGCCTTCATGTGGTCCTGACCCAGCATTTATTCATAACGATGGAGACGCAGTGAGGAGTGAGTACAAAGTCATTTATGTGTGTTTGTCTCTGTGGGTTCACTGGAGACTCTGCTTATGCCGGCAACCGTAGGTATGGCTTTGGGTATGTTTAGTTCAAATACAATGTACATGTAGAAGAGACCATGTAAGAGTTCTGGTCACAGTGACACTGAAGTTATGACTGCCTTCCTGTACTGGTGTTGGCCTAGATAGTCCATGAAACAGTTGCAGAGAAAGCACAGCAGCACAAACTTCAGTGAGAATTCCCTACAGAAACGTAGGTCCGTGTTGATGGAGCTCCTGTGTGATGTCTTCTCAGAGTACCAGTGTTCATTTAGTAACATTTGGCTATGGCAGATGGACACTTGCTGCAGCCATATCTGGAACTGCAGTAGAGACATAGCCCTGGCTAGGGCCTATCTATACATAAAGTTTCACATTGCTGTAACAATAATTGTTCAGAAACATTCCTAATGGAATTTGCGTGACTATACCAGTGGAGAGGTGATGTAGTGATGTATGCTAATCCCATCATTACTAGGGCATTGACTGCTATATCAATTTCTAGAAAGGAGGAGAAATAGAACAATACAAAACCTGTCTGCAGAGATGCCCAATGATTTAAAGACTTTAGAACATGTTAGCTCTAATTAATGTATTCAAAAACTGTAAGCAACCTCAGGTAGTGTGTACTTCAGCACCTCCTAAATTGGTCAAGGCAGGTTCTACCTAGTCTTTAATTTGATCTTTCTAGCATGTATTAAAAGCAGTCACACCTTGATTACACCAGACTCATTACTTCCAAAGGATTAGCTAACAAGGTTCATCCGCCTAACTGAAAAGAAGTGCTCTGTTTGTGCACACGTGCTTGTAGACACTTGTGAATTAAGGGAGAGACCCCTGGCTTATTCTTTTATGGCACTGTTTGACATTGGGATGGCACACGTCATGCCATCTTCTTTTCAATGGTCACCATTATTTTTTTTTTTAATCCAACAATAGATTCCAGCCATACCCAGATTCTTGGATAGTCAGTTTTTCAGTGTATCTTTTTGTTACTATGATTGTAGGAGGGAAGGCGGGCAGGAAGTTAGGGAAGTGGAGTAGCAAAGAATGATACACAAGTGTTGGGACACAGCCAAGCTTTAGATTAATACAAGGTGACCATCATTTCACCAATACAGTGAGTTTTTTGTAGCAGTGGAGCAGAGTAGCACAAACAAAGGCTTTAGGAAAAAGAGAGAATCTGATGGAGCTTTCTTCTGCATTACAACTCTGATATCTCGTCTTTCACAACAGCTAGGAATTGGCAATAAATAACCTCTGAGGAAAGCAGACTAGACAATAGAGAAAGATGCATTTTTAATTGCAATATGCACAAAGAAATATAGTTAATGCAGAGAGAAGCACAGGGAAGCTGTCCAATGACTGGAACTGCAAAAAAGGCAGCTTTTGCCTTAGAAGTAGAGTCAGATAGAATGGTTACTATAACAGCAGCTCTGACACTTAAGGCCTTACTCCACTGATGATTTCTGTAAGTGCTTTTTTTACATCATGGAGGCATTACTTGAGTGTAACTAAGCTCGTTGTTTTCCAAAACCTTTGCAGAGAGGGGCAATTTCTTGCTATATTATGGAGGACTAGAACACTGAAGTGTGAAGTCAGTAAAAATTTGCCATTGGTTTTAACGGAAATAGGATTGTACCCTTTTAATTTAAACTTCTTGTAGAGATCTCAAGGCTGATTCTGATCTAAGTTATCGCAACATCCCTGAACTTCAACCAGTAAGGAAGAGAGGTGAATCAGTCCTCCTATCATTCGATAGGTTTTTCAGTGCCATATCCCCTGACAGCACAAGACAAAGGAAAATGGTCACTGGGTGCACAGCCAGCCTCCCAGTGCAGTCACAGGGTGATTCCTGCTGCACAGTTTGTGTAGCAGCATACAAAGGTCTCTAGGCTATAGGCCGGGTGACTGTTTACAGCACAGCATAACCACTATACCAAGGCAGAGAACAGAAAATGTGTTCCCTGGACAGGAAGTTATTCATTATTTAGAAGAATGAAGCAGCTAGGTTAGAATTAGAGTCCTTGCCTCCCAGATAAAACTTCCTTCATGTCTCCCCAACATTTAATTTCTCCATTTTTTTGAGTACTGATCTACTTAGACTGGTCACATAGCTATACAAAGCACTTGTAGGGAGGGTGATTTGGAAGAGGTATTTTGTGAAAATAGTTTGGTGAGAAGGGAGTGTCTTGAACCACCATTGACTGTCCCAGGCTGTTCTCTTGGAAGCAGACAAAATGCCTGCATTAGAGAGGGATGTATGCGATTTGCAGCTCAGGTTTGTTGTGTAAGCTCATACTACCGTGTCACTACTTTCAAGAAATACAGAAAAAACTCAAGGAGTTACATGGTGTTCCTTTTTCACTCCAATTAATTGGTGTAAAAGGCAGTGTTCTGTATCAGTGGGATCTCAGTAGTTCCTGAGAAGACATTCTTTTTCAGAGGCAAAGCCCTTTTCAGTGTCCTCCTTCCCAACCCTCCTCCCCTGAATACCCACCTGTGCCCTCCCTGCTGTAGCTCTTGCTGCTGGGCTGTCAAAATATCTCTCATAATGAAGCAGTCTGGCCTGAGGCTACTATTACCTCCAATACTGATCCTGCTGAGCATGACTTTGGCAGCATGGCTGGCTGTTCACATGCAGTGAGCACAGAGCTGGGCTACACCTGGCAAGGAATAAAAGACAAAAACCAGTGAATCCTGGCTGTTAGACAGCCCTGATGTCCTCTGAGACTGTGAAAGAGACAGGGGAAGGCATGAATCTGGCTGGCTCGGGAGGTGGTGGTGTGGCTCTTTGGTCTCCTTCCCTGTCTTTCAGTAGGCTCAGCGATTTGGTAGCAACAGAGTCGTTGCTTTCTGTCACTGGTGGAATAGTGTCAGGGTAATTCTGTGGAAAGATAGGGGAGTGGGGAGAGGAGCTGTTCGTTTGCAGTCTTAAAAGGCTATTCACCCCAGCTTCTTTGGGGGAAACAACGTGATTCAGTGGATAGTACGCCAATTGTTGAAAGACTTGTTTTATTATCTAAGCTCTTCTAGCGTACAGGACAGAACTTTGCTAGTGTAGTTAGTTTTGGACTGTGAGAAACTCATGCTACAGACCTGCTATGACAAGGTCAGCAAGACCAGTGCTATAGATGCAGCTATGCTGACAGAACGTTGTATCTGTTCCTTTAGCTTAGCTTCAGCAGAGGCATGGTGGTGCCAGAGACGACATGTATGGCATCTGTGCTGGAATCATGGAAAGACAGAAGCTCTGGGTTAGTTTCTGAACTCAGGCTGGTCATTTTACACGTACCTGGGTGTCTCTCTCCTCCCAGCCTCAACCTGTCTTTCCTGTAAAGGGGCAGGGCCTGCATCTGCAATGAGTTTTTAAAACACTTGTCACAAAGGACCTTTGATCTCAGTTAGAAATTCAGAGGTTTACTGTCATACATGTAAATAACAAATTACATTTAGGAAGTTTTCCCTTCTTTTATGGGTAGAATAATGGAGGCATATCCAGGGTAAGTAATTTGTCCATGAAACTGGTGATAGAGTAAGGAAGAAAATCCTTATCTCTTAACTTTCAGACCTATGCTTGAAATACCATCTCCTGCAAAATGCTTTATAGCACAGCTCCCTCTTTGCAGTTTTTTGACACATTTGACCTGAGAGAAATAAAAGATCCAGGTTTTGTTTCAATCCAACATGATGTATTCCGGAGGTGGAGAACTCAATGTTAGAAAATGATCGCTATTTACTTTGTTTACTGTGGTAGTGCCTCTGTGAGCAAATTAAGAATCATGCTTTCACTTTGCTAGGTGCTGTGGAAACACACAACAAAAAGACATGGTGATTTGTGCCCCCAGACTCAAAAACATGTTCCAGTTCCTCAGTGTGGAGTTTGCAAAGCGTAGCTGGTTCTCTAACCACGTGTGCATGGATTTGCTTAGATCTCTCTGATCTGCTCTCCAGTGGTGAATCTGTTTACACTAATCCTGAAAGCTCTACTGTTAAAGAGACTGGATCCAAACAACTTCAGACTCCTGCTGCCCGACTCAGACATCCAGCCAGAGCTCTTGTTCTTTATTACAGCAGGGAGGGGTAGGGAGGCCTTGGTAGTAACTTTTAGTGCTTGTGAGAGACTGAGAGGATCAGCCTGAAACTGTGCCTCTTGCATCCCTCCAAACTTCACTGAGTTCTGCCAGAACACCTTACATGTGCGTGAGAAACCCTGCCTGGTCCAAGCCATACACCTCATATTGAGCCACCATCATGCAGCCTTTACTCTTCCAGTGCTGGATCTCTCCACAGCTTGGCCAGTGCACCTACATCACGACTGGCATCAAGTGCCTGTTTTTTCCAGGAATGAACCACAGCCAAGTAGGTGCTGCCCTTTGAGAATAAAGACTCAGCATATTCACTTCACTTATGACTAGGTCCAGATTTGAGCCATTCTTTAGAGGCAAAAAGCAACTGAGCTGACATGCAGTGGGAAAATCCCATGGCAAGTTACCTTTTCCTTTAAAATAAAAGGTAAATAAAAGTAAATAAGTAAAAGGTAAATAACATAGAAGGTCTCATTACAGCTGTTTAATTGGGGGGGGAAGGCTGGATGATAATGCAAGGTGCTGCTAGGAGAGTGGAGCATGTATCCAAACCACAGAGATCTGAGAAGTCTAGAAGTGAGTACTGCAAAAGGATTTGTTCCTGGAGGATGAAGGCCATTCTTGTTCTGCTCTCCTGTGACCCCTCCTGGAGACTTGTCTTTGGAGAAGGTTGTGGCCAAGCTCTCTCTACATTTGGAGGTGAAGTTGCGATTAAGAATAGAGGTGGAAGAAGAATAGTAACCCTTATGGCTGTAAAAAAGAAAGAGGGCTTTGAGAAAAAAATTCCCACTCCCCTGTAAAAAAGTGAAATCAGTCCCATGAAGCCAAATTATAAAGAAGATGGAGTCAAAGGAAGGCTGAAGTAGTTCTCAAGCTTTTTCAGAGCTCAGTGCAGTTCTAGGTATGCCAGGCACGAAGGTTTTCTGGGAGCGTTAAGAGCGAGCAGTTCTTCTCACTGTATGGCCTTCTCACCTGACCTCCATCCAGAATCCTCTTATATGCTTTCACAGAGAATGCCTGTGTCTCCCAGAGCCTCTTCCAAGCATTTTCCTTGGTTCATTAGGTGATAATAGAAAGTGATTTTTCCCCTGTCATCTTGAGCAATCAGAAGCATTAAGAATAAGAGCCTAAGCCTGAAAGCCTAAATGAGAGGGTTTGATGGGTATGTATATCTGCCTCCTTCATTAGAGCAAGAAGCAAGGATGGCTCCCAGAGCTTGCATTTCTTGAGAATAAATAGGCAAGAAACAAGGATCATGATCAAGTAGCGTCAAGAGAAAATTGAGGTTCAGGGCTTAGGTTCCATTCCCACATCTGCTGAACCCCAGAGAGGCAGTTTCCTCCTCCTTTACAGGTAGGAAGCGATAGCTTCTCCCACAAGTGGTCCATTAGTGGACTTTTTGTAGAAAGGGGTACCTGTCATCTGAGAGCTCGGGGGGGCAGAAAATAACACCTGTAAGATCTTGGGCAAGTCATCTGGTGCATAAGGGTGAACTCATCACCTGTATTGGCCTGTATTCACTCGCAGTGGGACGGAGTAGCTGCGTAACCCCAGCGAGAGTACAGCGCTCGTGTTCGCCATCTCAGACTCTTTACGCTTCGGCTTCTCCACCAGTAAAACGAAGCTAAAAGCAGCTTCCTTGAGAAGGTGCAAGGAGGTGGTGTTTGTCCTTGTCTGTGAATGCTCCGAGATCATCTGAGAGCTGGTGCTGAAGTGGCAGGGGCTGTTACTGCTCAGAAACTACCCTGCGAACTCTCTCACTGGCCAATTGTCGCAACAGCAAGCCCGCGTTTCGCTGTCTGGAAGGCAAGTTCAGCTTGCCACCGCCTCCCCCTGTAAGAAAGCATTAAGAGGCACACCTTGGGACAAAGCAAAGAACTTTTTGTTGTTCTGGGAGCTCTAAGACAGAACTCGTACACAACTCTTACTGTTCTGCCACCTTGAAGGACTTGTGGGGCATATTTCTTGTGCTGTGTTTAAAGGGATGATTTATTTTTATTTCCCTTCTAGGTAGGATTCTTCCTGCACAGTCGCTCCTGCTTAGCGTCCAAGGGTAGGCAACTCCATCTTGTTGATGTGACAAATCTCTGTTACAACCACACCACTTAATTTTGGGCCGTGTTGTCCTCTCGGGGCAGTTTCACCCAGACCTTGTGCCGTGTCTGTCATAAGCTTGTAATGGAAAACAAATTTATACCGTGTCTCCTAAGTCTTGCTACATCACTGCATGGGAAAAGAGGAAGCTCGAAGCCTGCCTTCTCGAGGTATAGCTGATCACAGCGGGATTTTGCCAAGGAGAGCAAGGTGCATGGAGAGCACCCAGCACCCGGGGGCTGGCCCCGCCGTCCGTCGCTCACCCCCTCGCCCCGCCGGCGCCGCGCTTGCAAGCGCCTCTGCTGTTTAAATGGGCCAAGTTAGAGAAGCGGCGGCGGCGGCGGAGGGAAATCTTGTTTGGTCAGAGTCTCTGAACTATACCGTGACTTCTGAGCACGGATCAATATATGTCTGTCCCGGCTCGGAGGGGAGCCCGGCCCAGTAGCCCAACATAGCGAGGCATTTAGGGTCTGGGGACAGCGGTGTAGGAGCGCACGCCGTGCCGTGGCACGGGCTGGCGGGGATATAAATGTCTGTGTCTGTGTGTCTCTGTGCGTGTGTGTGTGTATATATATATATATATATATATATACATAGATCTGTGTAATGTAATACCATGTTTTTTAAAATTTTGTGCAGGAGTGGAAATTAAATACCAACTCGCAGGGATCATAAAGCCTTCGGTGGGAGCGGGGCGAGTCTGCACTTTGCAGGTGAAGGCGGGCGGCCCCCGGGAAACTTCTCCGCCCGGGTGGCTGGAGCCCCGCGGGCAGAGCGGGGGGGTCGGCCCTGGCCGGGGGTTTCGTCCTCCCCGCGCCCGGGGGGGTCGGCACCGGCCGGGGGTTTCGTCCTCCCCGCGCCCGGCGGGCGCCGGCGGCGGAGGGGAGGGGACCGCGGAGTGGCGGCGGGGGCGCAGCGTTTAATTTTAATTATTGCATATAAATAAATAAACCAGGTGTCAGTTTAAAGGAAGGAGGGGGGGGGAGGGTGAGAGGGGGCTGGGTGGGCGGCGGGGAACCCTCCAGCCTGGTGAGAAGGTGGGTCGATCTGGGGGAATCAATAAGCTTTTTTTTTTTTTTTTTTTTTTTTTTTTAAACCAAAATAATGTCTACGGCAGCAGAGACCTCTCCGAGATGTCAGGTATTAGTCCGGAGGGGCAGATCTGCGAGCCACACAGCAGCTCCCGGGTCTACGGTACATTAGCCTCTCCGTGGGAGAGGGATCCCAGACAGCTCTGCTGGGGAGCCAGCCCAGGAGATTTGTTAGCGGGCTGCTCCGGGGGATACCAGCCACCTCCGGCACCCGAGCGCCAAAGGTGCTTGTGTTGCTGCTGCTGCTGCTGCTGGCGCATTTCATCCAAACTCCAGCCAGAGCGGGGGCAAGTTGAACCGGAGACATTAGAGCCACTGTGCTTTGGAGAGACGAGGGCGCACGGGGAGCGCAGCAGCACCATGCCTGCTATCAAGAAGGAGCGACTTGACAGGGAAGAGATGGCCCTGGCAGCTTTTAACCAGCCCATGGAAACCTTACCTGACTATCTCGCCCCTCTGGCCGCCGCTGCCATTCCGGTGGTCACCCCGCACCCGCCGGCTTACGACCAGATCTTTGCCCACCGCGCGTACCTGGGCTTCCACGAGACCCACCACCCCCACCCCCCCCACCACCCCCACCACCTCCCCGAGGACCTGATGCTGGAGAGGTTTTCCTCCATCCCGGATTTCCAGCCCTTCTTTGACAACGGAGAGCCTTGCATCGAGGTGGAGTGCGGGGAGAACAAGGCGCTGCTCTACATCAATAAGTTGTGCCAGGGGAGCAAAGGACCCTCTATCCGGTACCGGGGAGAGTGGCTCACCCCCAACGAGTTCCAGTTTGTCAGCGGCAGGGAGACGGCCAAGGACTGGAAGCGCAGCATCAGGCACAAAGGTAAAAGCGCTTCTCGGCACTCGGCTTGTGCCGGGGCTCCCCACGCCGCTCTGCTCTTCCTTAGCATCCTCCCTCTCGCCCCCATGCTCGGGGAGCGGGATCCAAGGCGGGGGGGGGGGGGAGGCTTTACCGCCTCTTAGCGCTCGCAGGGGGGGAGAGCTCAGCACCGGATCTCCAGGGGCCGTGCCCCCCTCTCCCCCGCGCACCCCCGGGCCCTCTCTCCCGAATCCCCTCCCCGAGCGCGCCGGTACCGGGAGAAGTTTTCCGAACGATTTGGGAACAGTTGCTCTGGGGGGTCGAGGGGTGGAGGGGGGGGTTAAGGTTGGGATTGAGGAGGACTCCTCTCTTTTGGAGAGAAGTTTCATTTCGCGCGGGCGGAGGTTTGAACGCGGGGCAAATTGCGCGTTGAGGGGGGGACGACCCCACGGCTCCCGACTCCGCGCCCCGCGGGGTTCTTCTCCGCGGGGGGGGGGGGGGGGGGGGGGGGGGGGGGGGGGGGGGGCGGTGTTAGGCGGCGGCGGGCAGAGCCGCGGGGCGCAGCCCCGTCGCGCCGGGTGAGGACAAACCCCGGCGGGGTGGCGGGCGGGGCGGAGGGGGGGGGGGACACACACAGAGAGAGACGGAACTGGGGGGTGTTCCCCTCGCAGCTGGGTGGTGCGGGACCTCCGCGGCGCTGGCGGCTGCTGACGGGAGCCTGCCCTCCCTCCCCTCTCCTCCCCGCCCGCCTCCGGTCCAGCCCGAGCCAGCGCCGCAGTCCCGGCACCGGGGCTGGCGCGGTGGAGCTGCTGGGGCGGGCGGCAGGTGGAGAGCGGGGACCACGGCTTGGGGGGGGGGGGGGGGGGGGGGGGGGGGCGGGACACCCACACCCACACACCGGGGGGGTGGCGGGAGAGAAGAACCGATGCGCCATGTAATTAGCTGCGAGCTGGAGGTGTCAGCCCAGGGGTCTGAGGAGCTATTAGGAGGTGACTGACACCTCGCCTTGTTTATTGATCGCCAGAGAAAAGGGGAATAACTTCGGGGGCCGCGCTAATTGTCGTTACTGCGCTCATCTCTTCTGTTTCTTTTATTACTGGGCTCCTGGCTGCCTTCGGGAAATCTCAATTCCTCTGGGGTGAGTCAGGAGGACTGAGGTGGAATGGACACGGAGGAGCAAAGGGGGGGGAGGCGCCGAGTGGGCTGCCCCGGTCCCCTCGGCCGTCCCCCCGGCGTGGGGGCTGGCTGCGCGGGTGGCGTGGGCAGCGCGGAGCCTCCGCGGCGGGTGCGCGCAGGTTGCGCGGGTTGGCCGCTGCGCACCCGGGCTCCCGGGTGCGCCTTCTGCCTCGGCTCTCCGCGGGCTGCGGGAGCCTTGGCAGCCGGGGCTCCTGTCCACGGTGATCTGCAGGGGAAAGAGCTGGATGAAAGGGCAGGCGGGGGGGGGTGGGGGTGGGTGCTGGCAGGCGAGGGGAGGGGTGTTTGTGTGGCAGGAGACGCGTGCTCTTCCCTCCCCCCCCCCCCCCCCCCCTTCCCTAAATACTTTCCTTTTATAAAGGTGCTGATCCTTTTTCTTCTTCTTTTTCTTCTCCTCCGCATCCAGGGAAAAGTTTGAAGACTCTTATGTCCAAAGGAATCTTACAGGTACATCCTCCAATCTGTGATTGCCCTGGGTGTCGAATTTCGTCTCCAGTGGTAAGATTATTGTTAAACTATGTGCTTTAGTTAAGACATCTCCCCTCTCCTCCGCCTCCTTCCCTTAAAAAAAAAAAAAAAATAAATCCCGTTGCTTCTGTGATCATGAAACCGTGATCTCTGAGCGCTAGGAACTGTCAGTCATTGAGTCTTTGCCAGAGCACTGCTTGCACTGCCAGTGTACCTGCGGTCTAGTTAAAGGCTAGCAGGAGAGGAGTTTGCAAACCGAGCAGATGGGAAGAGCAGTGTTTGACCTAAAGGATGCACCACGCAGCAGGACTGTGCAGTTTTCAGGGGGAGCTGTCTGTACGCAAACGGCAGATCATTCAGTAGCCTCTTCCCTGTTGTCAGCCCCTTCATTTTTTTGTGTATTGTGCAGAGGTGTAAAATGGCTAAATAAAGCAAAAGGGAATTCTAATTGCACCCACATGTTAGAGTCATAACAGCCACAGTTTACAAACCTTTAGTGAATTTTGGTAGATAAGGAGGAACGAGCCCACCTTAAACGCTTACAACTTTTACAACATTCATGTCATAGATCACAGCTATTGCTTTTATAGATCTTCCCAACTTTCGAGTTCCTTTTGTTTTCTGCTGTCTGCCTTTATACTGAGACTTTCAAAATCTCTATATGACATCAGCATTTTAATGAAAAAGATGTTGGTGCTATAAATAAAAACTTCCAGAAATCATAGTAAACTAAGGCATTAAAAAGAGTTTGGCATGTGTAAAAATAACCATAAAATACAGTAACATCTAAACGGGATGGCAAAGCTGTTAGTTTGTGGAACTAAAGCGGGTCTTGGTCTGAAAAAAACCACCATGACTCAAAACATTGTCAGTACCACTGTGGAAACAGATGCAGCTGGAAAATTATGTACTTTTATCCACTGAAATCAACCATTTTTTCTGTTATTGTTTCTTTGAGATCAAATGGACGATCTCTTTTCACATGCAGCATCTTTATGATGCTGCACGACAGACAGAATTGCGAATTTAAATTGTTTCTTCATAGTATGTTATGTGCGTGCGTGCTTATGTTAGCAGATGTACACATTCACATGGGAGGGGGCTTAGAGCAATAATCAACAGTGACAGAAATGACTGCGAAGGTACCATCTCTGTGATGCGAGTCTCTTGCGTGTTGTGCATAGCAGCAGTCCATACCAAAGCGGTAACTGTCCTCTGAGTTTACCAGTACTAGTTACGTTGCAGCACTGCCATGGTATTTTAAGCCCAGCAAACTGCACTGACTGAAACCTGGCTTTTCTGGTGGACTCTCGCAGTTCCTCTGAGTGTACGGGGCAAAGTGCGACGCAGTGTAATAACCTCACTCCGGTTTTGACTTTTGCATATGCTTTAGTTACCAGTCGTGTGGGCCAGAGGCCAACGAGCAGGGATCTGCAGCCCAAAGGGCCGTGCCCCTGTTGCTGGGGGGGGTGTGTGTGAGAGGTGTCTGAGCAGATGACACTGTCAACGGGTGACCTTCTGGGTACCAAGTGGAATTAGGTAGTAGCCAAAATGACCCACTGCACTTTCCTGGCAGCAACGCTTTTAATAGTTGCACTTACGCATTTACAGTTGGGAAGGCAGCTCTGCATGAAGCAACTGTCTTTTAAAATAGAACTGAACTTGAGAAGCTCAGATAGAGGAAAAGAGAGGTTGATATAGTTTGGGGAAAGGAGAAATAAATCCTTCTGGACTTGCCTTCTACTGCTTCCCCAGCTGTATAAATTAGTTAGGGTTTTGGTGTCAGAATTTGCACAGCGAGGACAAACCCCAATGAGAGCTTTTATCAGGACTGTTTCTCAGTGCTTGCTGCCTTTTCTGTGCTGTAATTAGAACATATACCTGACCAAATGAGAATTTCACATTTTGAACCTGAAATCTTTTGGTGGTGCCATGTCATAGCTACATGCACTACACATTCAAAACAGTTACACAAGAAGGAGGATTAAAAATTGGGCACAGTTTTTATCTGTCCCCATTTAATGATCACTGATTTAAGTGCCGCTGAGATCAAAGGGTTGTTTCTCCTCAAATGTAGAAATGCTTTATATTTTATGGTGTAGGTAAGTAGAGACTTGCAGTGCCTGGGTCCTTGTGCTGCTGTGTTATCAGAGGGGGGGGGATATGGAGAGGGGGAGCTGGTTCTTCTGATCCCAAATCAGTCCTTGGACAGCGGGAATAGGCCAGAAAATCTCCAGCATTGCCTTTGTATGGGGGCAAACCAGCTGGTTGTAGGCACCAGCATCTTCCCCCATCTAACTGCTGGCAGAAAAGGAAGCACTCCAAGGACCCGGCCTGGCTCTTCCTTCGGGAAAGGTTACATCCCATTTGTCCAGCCCTGCCACCCTTCTCCAGCCACCCTGGTAGTGTCAGGGGCTTTAATCGGCACCAGCGACCGTTCTGAGGCCCAGCCTGGGTTTCTTTTTGGGGTTGGGGAGAGGAGGGCTTGATCTGGAAAGCAAACTGCACGGTGCCACAGACCCGGCTTGAAAAAGGCGGCCGAGGAGCCGGCGCTGAGCCTCGCACCGACCCCCCCGCGCCTCCCCCGTTATCGGCGGGACCGGGACAATAACCCGAACCCAGCGGGGGGGGTGGGGGGTGCTCCCAATTCCCAACCCCCCCTCCCACCTCGGCCAGCACCGAAACATCCAGGCTACCCCCCCGCCTCCATCCCCAAACCCCCCCAATTCCCAACACCCCCCCCCCCCCCCCTCGGCCAGCACCGAAACATCCAGGCTACCCCCCCGCCTCCATCCCCAAACCCCCCCGACTCTGCCTGCCAGGGTTGGCGCCGCACCCCCCCTCCACAAACCTCCCCCTCCCTCCCCGGGCCGCGGTGCCGGGGGGGGATCGGCGCCCGGCCCCCGCCGAGCCCCGGCTCCGCCGCCCCCCACCGCCCCGTCTCAGCTCGTTTGCTGCAGCTGCAGACAGCGGCCGGCGCCGGGGCCAGCTCCGCCACCGACCGCCGGTTTCCTGCGAGGCGGAGCGGGGAGCGGGGGGGGGGGGTCGGGGAGTTGGGGGGGAGCAGCCGCGGCGCGCCGGCCGCCCTGGCGCCTCCTCCCCCCGGGCCGCGGCCGCCCCCGCAGCCATCAATCAGTGTGTGGGGGGGGGGAAACCGCTGCCGACCGGGGGGGGAAGGCAGGGGGGATGCTGGAGGGCCTCTCGGGGCTGCAGGGGCGCGCCGAGCTGGGAGGGGGGGGATGCAGGGAGGAGCGCCGGGAATTGGGGGATGTGCAGGAGGCTGCCTCCGGGGCTGGGGGGGGGGGGGGGATATCCCGTGAGCCGCTCGGGGGGGGGCTGGAAGGGTAGAGTCATCCTGTGCCCAGCACAAGGCTTCGGCAGGGGAGCGGTGCTGCATGGTGCGGCGCTGTCTGGTTTTCTCCCCAACTCTGCGGAGGTGGGGAATGGGGCACCCCACCCCGTACCCTTCTGGAGAGTGGCTGTGCCTCCGACTTTCTTCTTTTCTTTGTACCCTAGCCTTTGCACCCGAGGTTTTTGAGATCTGGAGAGGAGAAACAGCACAGAGTCTCGGTCCCTTCCATTTTTTAGAGGCATGGGATGCCAAGCGTTCGCAAAGTACGTTGTCAGATGCGAACAGGGATCTTCCCTCATATTTCTACTTGTCAGTTCTGGACAGACACAGTTCATCTTGTTTGGAGCCCAGTCTATTCTGGTGATAGCCATTCACTGCAGGGTTCCCTCTGTCCCCACCAAACTTCCCCCTGTGTTCCAAACACCGCTCACGCATTCTCGCCATCTCCACTTTCAAACCCATGGCCAGAGCTGCTCCATGCTCACTGGTGATGGTCTTTTTAGCCAGAGAGAGGGGGGAAAACTAAAGGTCTTGAGAACAGCACCAACATCTTCATTGCCAAACCAAAATATCTTAGATTGCAAAGTCCAGTGTCACATATCCAGTATAACAGAGGACAGGCATGCCTTACGGTAGATATGCTTTGATTGTTTCTCTTATCAGACAGAGTGTGACCCTTACTGTGTTTTTCATACTAGTCATGCTGCCTCTGAAAGTGTGTTAGGACTGGACATTGGCTGCTCCTCATCCTCTTTTCCCATCTTTTCTTGGACAGGGTGCCTGTGTTGGAGTTCAAGGTTCGGGTCACAGGTAAAGAAGGAAAGGCAAGCTTTCAAAAAGCTATTGTGATATGACCATATTCAAACAAAAAGCACGATAGAATTACTTTTTTTGTTTGTTTACCACATCTCCTTTGTTGCATGTCAAGACACATGGTAATTGTGCATAACTCGGTCAATGACAATGGTAATTCATTTGCTTACCGGGGCTGTGCTTTGCTCTTGATTTGATTTATATGTGATTCTTTTTATTTGCTTCTTTTTGCTTTTTGTCATCATCCTTGTTGTTTTCTGCTAATGCCCCTGAGGCTAAGGCGTTAGTCTGAGACTTTGTCAAGGATGGAAAAAGTAACTATCTGCTTACTTAAAAAAATGAATGCTAGTAATCAGCAAAATCTCTGTTATTTAGCCCTAAGATTCCTGAGCATTCTCCTCTCTCCCTGTTGCAGAGGTGCAGGGGTGGAGGGCAGCTCTGCATCTCCCCCAAAGTGTGGCTTTCTGTGACTTGTGCTGTTGGGTTCTGCCTCCAGCCACATTCACTGCCCTTCCCAGCGATGCCCACCTGGCCACCCCCTGCTCCACAGTTTGCCTGGAAAGCCAGGAACAGAGCTCTGCAGGGGGCAAGAAGGGAGATCCCTGGGCTACTGAGTAGATCCCTGGGTTGTGGGATCCAAATTCCTGGCCCAAAAAGGGAAGTCTCCCACATGGGACATGAGTCCAGAAGAAAACTTTCCTATGAGAAGACGACTTTGCCTGCTGGAAAATGTAGTTGGCTGCCTGTAGAGGCAGGATTAAGTGTGAAATTTTATTTCTAACTGAATAGATTAGATTTAGGTTCCTTTCTGAGCTGCTGTGGACTTAAGGATTGGAGCTGGAGAATCTTGGGGTTTATGTGAAGG